CGTGACCTTGGCATATGCCAGCTCTACTGTGCCTTCTGCCTGAAGGAAAGCAGCCTGAGGCCCTCACTGGAAGCAGTTGCTGGTGCCATGCTCCTTGTATGGCCCGAAGAACCATGAGCCAAATCTCTTTTCTTTATGAATTACCCAGCCTCAGGTTTTCCTTTATATTAATAGCAACACACATGGACTAAGACACCAGGACAATAAACAGTTGTCCAGATTGCCCCAGTGTAACTCATCCCCATGAGGAGAATGGATAAATCCATGGCTCTCTCCTGGCCTGTATGGCTAAGGGTGCTGCTTGGTTCTGGTGTCTGCCTAGGCTGGAATCCTGCCCGACAAAGCCATTGGCCTTCATTCCCATGTGGCCAGGGGCTAGAGCCCTCAGGCCTGGTAGAGCTATCTAAGCTGCTGTGGAAATGCTTACGATGAAAACATTCGGGTCCATACACTCTTTAACACATTTCCTCTGACAGGCACATATGTACTCACACACCCTGACACATATGCATGCAAGTCTCTGCACACATACACGGAGTTTCTGCAGAAGCTCATGCTGATTGTCTTGAAAAGCCAGTAGACAGAGGATGGAGTGTGTGCGTAAAGTGCAACATGTCCGCCTCCACCCTCCTGATCTGGAGTGGTTACAGAGCACTGGCAGCATTGCCACGGACTCAGCCACTGAGAAACCACCAGTGAGGAGAAATCATGTTGTTTGCCTCTCTGAAGTGACAGTGCACCAGGTGAAGACTCACAAAGGGTGGCCTTGACAGCAGCTATCGATGGCCCCCCACTTGTTTCCAGGCTTGCCCTCTGTTTCGTTCTAGCGACCCTCTCATCTGTCAGGAGTAATATACGGGATATTTGATGAAAGCATCCTCCATTCTATGTTAACTGAATTGACTTGCATGGCTCATTGGCTTCCCTTTGCAAGTGGCTAGTTGCAAGGCTGGCTTAGTATAGCCTTGACAGATAAGACTCCTGCTGTTTATTATGCTCCACAGTATTCCTTCCCCACGAAAACACGTATGGTTCATACACCATGCACGCCTCTATCCATCACCTCAAGCACTCCCAGTGGAACCACCCAAATAATAGATTCACTGAGGTGCCTTTCTTTAATGCAATTCCTTATTCTGCACATGGGGTAAGTAATAATCTCTAGAGCAGGAAGGCAGAAGAGTGTGTGAATGTCATTCCTTCTTTGGTGCCTGGTGCTTCAGTGGCATTTATAACATGTGTGTTCAATGAAAGGAATGAGGGCTGGGGACACAGATGTGGAAGCTCTTTTGTGTTTGCAAGGCCACATTAACTGCAGTGCAGGGAGTCAACCCAAAACTCAGACAGTCTCCAGGAACACAGGGCCCAACTCAACACAACCACACCACACATACAGCTTCCTAGGTCTACAGGCTGTAAAGACAGCCACCAGACAATCCCCACCTAGACGGCTTTGCACAAGACAATGGCATATGCTGGTACCTAGCAGTTCTCCAGAGACCCAATTTTAAGGGTTTATTTTATATCCTAATTGCCTCCATGAAGACAAGTCAGCCCACGGCAACTATAGCCCTTTGAAATTCTGGACAGTGACTCAGAGATTAGCCATCAACCACACCATGTCATCTGCAGACACAAGGCTTAGGCACTGTGTGTACCTGGCAACAACGTCCCTGCCACCCTGCCTAATTCCACCATAGATACAAGGAGAGGCCCTCAAATTCCAGCGAACCAAAGAAGCCAAGGCCAGTTTTAAGGAAATTGCCATTTACTTGAAAAAATAATACGCAGACCCTCTGTAACAAATTCTGCTGATTGCCAAGAGGATGTACCAACAGAATCCTGATTTTATTCAAGTACCCATCCATGACCAACTTGAAGTCCTGCCCTGGCATGTGTTTCTGGTCCAGGTGTGGGAATGTGTATTTTCCTTCATTGATACATATATTGCGTCATGACCAGGCCTTCAGTTATGTCAGATAATACTTTCCTTATTGTTTCAATCAGTTTGCTTCAATGTGTTCTGTTCCCTATAGCCACAAAGATACTGAGATGCTATGCAAGGCTAGCTGGAGAGGAAGATTCCCCATGTGAAGAGAAGCAGAGAACACCACAGCCCTGCTCTTCTGTGCTGAAGGTCACCTCCCCTGGTGACCTCAGAGGGCGCTGCTCCTCTTTAATGCCCTAACCACAATTCTTTTAAAAGCTCCTCCATCCACAGAGCGGAGGGCAGGCTGGAGTATTTAAACAGCCCGATCCCAATGCTCTTGGATATCAATAGGACAATAAGCATGGAGAATAATTTGTAACTAGATAATCCAGTTTTCAACATATGACTCGGTTTTCTTCAGATTGTGGCATTGGAAGTTTGGCATTGGACTGTTTTCATTCAGTCTTTATATGGTGGGCTCCACCTAGCATCATAGAATCATGCCTTAGAGATCTATTCTCTTTGACATCTAGTCTGGGGGAGAGAAAGAAAAAGAGAGAACGAGAGAGAGAGAGAGAGAGAAAAACAGGGAATTTTCTCTCTCACTTCTCAGTTTCTGGTCTCAGGTCCTAGCTCTTCCTACAGTGATTGACTCAGAAGGGCCACATTTCCCAATCATAGGAAGAGGTCCTACTTAAGGCCACAATAGTTGCATAGCTGCAATAAATATTTATTGAATAATGAATGAGAAGGAAACTCCATCTCAGTTCAACACAGTGACTCCAGCACTGATACAACAGCCAGAAATAGTCTATTTATAAGGGGGATAAGAGAATTATTTCTTTTTAAGACATTTAGTAAGCCATACCTTTCTACCTACCATAAACCCCCAGATCAGCTGGGCCCATGCCTCTACAGCCCATGCTGAGCACAACATGAAGAGGTATTACAGTATCTCCTCCAACCCACACTGGCAGTGGAGTGTGGTAGGAGCGGAATACGGGCCCACTGCCTGGCCTTGACCTCTTTTCTGCCATCTGCTTGTTGTGTGAACTTAAGCAAGTTATTTAATTCTGCGGGCCTCAGTTCTTCTTGTGCAAGCCTACTATAAATGTTGCCACGGTGATGAAAAAGATAAAGTATATACCTGTGCCTGGCACATCAGCACTTTCCTAATATGAGGTAGTTTTAGTAATTAGTAACCACTTAGCCAGGCTCACACTTCTTTCCTTGACCTATTTCAGACATTCAGACACCCCCAGCTATGGCTTTGTAGCTCATTCTTCTGTTGATCCTCAACGTTATCCTCAAATTTGGCACACAAATGATTCCTTCCCAAGTTCCAATACTGGTGCTGACAATGTCCCACAGACGTTCTTGGAGAAAGACTTTTGGTACTTCCAGACCCTAGAACTCTTCCTGTCTAGATGTGACCCCGGGGTGCACTTCTACCCATCACATCTAGACAGGACTCTGGTGGCAGCCAGAGAAGATGGTCCCCAGCTAAAGAAGAGCCCGGGAGGCAGCCCCTGTGGAAATGTCGGAGAGGTGCATGGCTCTCACTTGAGCCTTTGTGATCTCAGCAATATGAACGATGTAACTGCATCGAATGGCACACCCCCATGCCAGTTTGCGGAGGGAAGCAATCTGGGAACTGCCAGCATGCTAAAGAATTTGATCTCTCTCAATATGGCCCATCTGCCTGGGGTGGACCAGAGCTGACAGAATCTCCTGCGGCTACTGTAGCCAGATGCCTTTCAATGGGTTTTGCCATTGATCTCAATCAATACAAGGAGACAGAAACTGGACTGATAAATAAAAACCAATCCAGGCCTGAAAGGCTTATGCTTAGAAATCCTCACCACTTCAAATAAATTTACCCAGTATTTGCAGGGCATCTCCCATGAACCAGTCACTAACTATACTTGGCCCTGTGATTACAAAGATGAATAAAAGGCACTTGTGTCCTGGAGAGGCCCAGGGCCTCCAGAGAGAGGCAGAGGTGTGGATGGGGGCAGAGTAGGGTATTGCAAAGGGTGCACTAAGGAAACGGGTCGGTTCACCTGGGAGTAGGAGGTCAGAAATGTCTTCACAGAGGAAGTGACTCAGATATCATCAGTTCCGTGATATTTACTGACAAAACAGCACTAATTTCTGTGCTAAAGGATGTCAAGGGCATTACCCCATTTATGCTTCACAAAAATCCTATAAAGTAGATATTATTTCTGTGATTTTCAAAGATGCACAAAGGTAAGTCCAAAAGTTGCATGGCTAATCATGATGTTGGAGCTTTGACAGGAGTTTAGCTGTCAGTCTGACCACTCAAGTGTCCTAACTCTGGGGCTTTGTTTTGTCCATGCATATAAGCCATGATTATATAAGGGATGCCCAGATGTCTACTCTTCATTCTGGTGACAGTGAAATACATGCAAAAGAAACTCACAGACAGAGCAGCTAAGGTAAACCTCCCTCCCTTATATCCCTATGCTCTCTCAGTTTCCAAGGCATTGAACTTAGCAAAAACATTATTTGCTCCCCAAAGCCATTATTCTTCTCTGTTCTATTACATTGGCCTTGAAATTGACAAAGGAAGGCCTACTGCCAAGGAATTCAGAATAGAATGAGCTGGGGAAGAAGTGGGAGAGGAAGGGAGAGTGGGGAGAGGAGAGAGTGCTACTTGGGCTGTGAGCACTGAGGGCTGGGGAGAGTGAAGAGAAGGCAGACCAGAGACTCCGGGAGAATGAGCAGAAAGAGCCATAGCCAGGCTCAAAAAGGATAGGCAAGGAGGGACCATAGAGCTGAGTTCTCTATCCTGAGTTAATTTCCACAGAGTCAATCAATCCTGATTACTGCTGCCTTGATCTTGGTGTCCCAGACCTGAAGGCCTCATTGGGAGATACTGTGCTGATTTTTTTTTTTTTTTTTTTTTAACACAGACTCAAGTAATGGAAGTACCGGTTTCTGGGGGAAGGGGACTCAGTAAACCTGATTTCACTAAGCCCCGGGCTGTCTATCAGTGAAGGATTGGCTCAGTTAATCTTTAGGGACATTTTCCACTTTGTTTTTCCAGGATTGCTGAGCCTACCCATTTTCCCTGGATTTCGTTGGAGAAAAGAGACTAAGAGCCTGAGAACTTGAGCCAACTCTGCAGGTGCATGGGAAGAAGTGGCAGATTTAAGACAGAACCAATACATTGGCTTAGGGCTGCAATTGCCAAACATGTTATTTAAGGAAGACTGTCTTAGTCCTACCCTCATTCATGTGGCTTTCCCCAAAATTCTTTTGTCACTCTATTTCCTTATTCTCGAATATGGTAATCTCTAACTGAATACTTACCTGGAGGCAGAAGAAGCTGCTGTAGTGTGCAAGCCCCTAGCCCAGTAGTGCAGGGTGAGTAATGTCCCTCAAAATGATTAGGTCCAAATTGTGGTAATGGTAAAGGCCACCTTACTTAGAAAAAGGGTTTTTGCAGGTGTGATTAAGTTAAATTTTAGAATTTAATTTTTTTATAATTTTATTTTTTAGTAGAGATGGGGTCTCACTATTGCCCAAGCTGGTCTTGAACTTCTAGCCTCAAGTGATCCACCCACCTCAGCTTCCCAAAGTGCTGGGATTACAGACATGAACCACTGCGCCCGGTGATGAAGCTAAAAATTCTGAGATGAGGAGATTATTCTAGATTGTCCAGGTGGGCCCTGAATAAATCACATCTGTCTTTATAAGTGTGAGCCAGAGGGAGATTTGACACACACAGAGGAGAAGGCCATTTGAAGACACTGGCCTTGAAGGTTGGAATGAGTGATGTAGGCATAAGCCAAGGAATGCCAGCAGCCAGAGAAGCTGGAAGGGGCAAGGAAAAAATGCTCCCCTGTAACCTCCAGGGGGATTGTGACCCTGTGGACACTTTGATTTCTACCCCGTAATACTGATTTTGGACTTCTGATCTCCACAACGATGAGACAATAAACTTCTGTTTTTAGGGTACTAGGTTTGGTTGTAATTTGTTACAGCAGCCATAGGAAACTAATACACTCAGCCTTATCCGATCTATGACACCTACGTGTTCTTCTACATCCATACCCTGCATTCTGAACATGCCATGGGCTGGTCATTTCCCTTGGAAGGCTGATCTTCCAGTTCGGTTTGTTACTTACTTGTGATGGGCAGAGGACTTAACTTCTCCCAGCCTGTTTTCTCATCCGTAAAACAGGAATGATAATCCCTGACTAGCTTGTTGTTGTCATGTTAGAACTACATGATATAATGGACTTAAAGACTGTTACCTTTAAAGCTTGACATATACATGCCAGGAATCATTCATTGATTTTCATTAAATTGTGTTTCCTGGACATAATCCTGGGCAGATCCGTACTGATATCAGTACACAATCCTGAGGAAATGCAATTCAGGGTCAGGTTGGGAAAAACTTTTGTGGCCCTTGCTAGCTTTGACATTCCTTAATGCTTGTTTTCTCTAATTCTGTGTGGCAGGAAGCAGCAGGACAAGATGTGAATGATCTAAAGGACAGTGATGGATGCAAACCCTTTCCCAGCCCCCCTACACTGGAGTCACTGACATGCTTTATTCACAAACTCGTCAAGACCATAAAAATCCTTAGTGTACTCATGACCTTTGTACCACCAAGGTGAAAGGATGTGGCATAAATCCAATAAGTTATGGACAATCTCTTATTTGCTTTGTATCTCTAGTACCTAGGTTGGAAAGTCCAATAAACGTTTGTTGGATGAATGAAGGAATGGATAGATATATGAATACATTATTAAAGAAAGGGAATGAGTCCTGAATAGCCACATAACCTCCAAACCACAACCTTCTCATATCCTCCAATGTTTCTTTTGACTATATTTTTAGGTTTTAGCCTCTGTTCCCCTGTCTTGAACTGTCTCCCTGGATCCCTATTCTGAACTTGGCTGGGACAAACTTTCACAAGTCTCTATCAAGAGTCACTACCAATATCAAAGACACAATAAGAAGAGAAAACTACAGGCCAATAGTCCTGATGAATATAGATGCAAAAATATTCAACAAAATACTAGCACACCATCTAGCAACATATCAAAAACTCAATTCACCATGGTTAGGCTTTATTCATGGGATGCAAGAATAAAGCATGGTTCAACTTATGCAAATCAATAAATATGATTCACTACATAAACAGAATTTTAAAAAACCATATGATCATCTCAGTAGCTGTGGGAAAAGTTTTTAATAAAATCCAAAATTCCTTTATGATACCCAGAAGTAAACTTAACAAACTAGGCATTGAAGGAAATACTTCAAAATAATAAGAGCCATCTATGACAAACCCAGAGCCAATGCCATACTGAACAGGAGAAAGCTGGAAGCATTCCTCTTAAGAACAGGAACAAGACAAGGATGTTCATTCTCACCACTCTTATTTAACATAGTACTGGACATCATAGCCAGAGCAATCAGGCAAGAGAAAGAAATAAAAGCATCCAAATAGGAAAAGAAGAAGTTGAATTATCTCTCTTCACTGATGATATAATTCTATACCTAGAAAACCCTAAATACTCCACCTAAAGGTTTGCAGAACTAACAAATTACTTCAGTAAAATTTCAGAACACAACATAAATGTACAGAAAATTAGTAGCATTTTCAGGAATGTTCTGGGGGATTAAAAAAAGAAACACAAATCAGTAGCATTTCTATACACAAATAACGTTCAAGCTGAGAGCCAAATCAAGAACACATTCTCATTTACAAAAACTATAAAAAGAAAAAAGACCTAGAAATACATCCAACCAAGGAGGTGAAAGATTTCCACAAGGAGAACTACAAAGCTGAAAGAAATCATAAATAATACCAACAGATGGAAAATATTCCATTCTCATAAGCTGGAAGAATCAATATTGTTAAAATGGCCATACTGCCCAAAGCAATGTACAGATTCAATACTATTCCTATCAAACTACCAATGTCATTTTTTACAGAACAAGAAAATGCTATTCTAAAATTTATATGGAACCAAAAAAGAGCCCAAATAGCCAAAGCAATCCTAAGCAAAAAGAACAAAGTGGGAAGTATTACATTATCAAACTTTGAACTATACTACAAGACCACAGTAACCAAAACAGCATGGTACTGGTACAAAAACAGACCCACAGACCAATGGAACAGAATAGAGAATTCAGAAATAAAGCTGCGTACCCACAGCCATCTGATCTTTGACAAAGTCAATAAAAGTAAGCAACGCTGAAAGATCTCCCTATTAATAAATAATGCTGGGATAACTAGCTAGGCATATGAAGAAGATTGAAACTGAACCCCTTCCTTATACTTTATATGAAAATTAACTCAAGATGGATTAAAGATTGAAATGTATGACTTCAAACTATAAGAATGACGCAAACTTAGGAAATAGCATTTTGGACATAGGCCTTAGGGAAGAATTTATGACTGAGTTCTCAGGAGCTATTACAAGAGAAACAAAAATTGACAAGTGTGACCTAAACTAAGGAGCTCCTACACAGCAAAAGAAACTATCAACAGAGTAAATGGACAACCTACAGAATGGGAGAAAATGTTTGCAAACTATGCATCCAATAAGGGTCTAATATCCAGAATCTATAAGGAACTTAAACAATTGAACAAGCAAAAAACAATCACATTAAAAAGTGGGCAAAGGACATGAATAGACACTTCTCAAAAGAAGACACATAGGTGGCCAACAAACATTTGAAAAAATGTTCCACATTATTAATCATCAGAGAAATGCAAATCAAAACCACAATGAGATACCATCTCATACCAGTCAGAATGTCTATTATTCAAAAGTCAAAAAATAAAAGATGCTGGCAAAGCTTCAGAGAAAAGGGAATGGTTATTCATTATTGGTGGAAATGCAAATTAGTTCAGCCACTGTAGAAAACACTTTGAAGATTTCTTAAAGACCTGAAAACAGAACTACAATTCAACACAGCAATCTCATTACTCAGTGTATATCCAGAAGAAGATAAATCATTCTACCAAAAAGATACATACATGCATATATTCATCACAGCACTATTCATAATTGCAAAGATGTGAAATCCACCTACATGCCCATGAATGGTGGACTGAATAAAGAAAATGAAGTTTATATACATGATGGAATATTATGCAGCCATGAAAAAGAACCAAATCATGTCCTTTGAAGCAACATGGTTGCAGCTGGAGGCCATTATCCTAGGCAAATTAACCCAGGAACAAAAAACCAAATACTGCATATTATCACTTGTAAGCGGGAGCTAAACATTGAGTATATATGGACATAAAGATGGGAACAACAGACTCTAGGGACTACTAGAGGGGGATGAGAGGGAGGGGGTAAGGGCTAAAAAACTAACTCTTGGCAGGGAGTGGCGGCTCATGCCTGTAATCCCAGCACTTTGAGAGGCCAAGACAGGCAGAGCACCTGAGGTCAGGAGTTCAAGACCAGCCTGGCCAACATTGTGAAACCCCGTCTCTTCTAAAGATACAAAAATTAACCAGGTATGGTGGCATGCATCTGTAATCCCAGCTACTTGGGAGGCTGAGGCAGGAGAATGGCTTGAACCTTGGAGGTGGAGATTGCTGTGAGCTGAGATCGCGCCACTGCACTCCTGCCTGGGTGACAGAGTGAGTCTCTGTCTCAAAACAAAAACAAAACAAACAAAACAAAACAAAAAAACTAGCTCTTGGGTACTGTACTCATTAGCTGGGTGACAGGATCAATTATACCTCAAACCTGAGCATCACATAATATGGCTGTGTAACAAACCTGCAGAAATGTGACCAAATCTAAAATAGAAGTTGACATTATACAAAATAAAACTACTTATTCAAATGGGGAAAAAAGAGTCACTGCCAAGACCCATAAGCACTGTCCATGGTCTTCCTCTGCATCTACTGGTTACCAGTAATCACCATCCATGTGAGTTTCCAACCACTCACTGCAGTGGGCCCAACAGGTGCACAGCCAGCCCTGGCTATCTGAGGACAGTACCCTCTCTGTCTTATATTCTTAGACAGCCTATTTGCACCTTAGAATCAGCAGCTCCAGCAGAATTAGGGTTTCTCAACTTCTGTCTCACCCTTTTTCTCCCAGGCCACTGTGGTTCCCTCAGAATTCATTAGAGACATGAAAGTGAAAATAGGACCAAATGTTTCTATAGATCAAATGGGATTTTTGAGAAGCTTGATTTTCAAGTAATATATGTTCATCATATAGCGCTTGGAAAGTACATAAGAGCATAAAGCATTAGAAAAAAGTGATCGTAATTCCATTGTCTTGAGTCAATCACTGTGAACATTCTTGTACATTTCTTTCTAGTCATTTCTCTAATTTTTACATAATTAGGATCATAGAATATATAAAATTTAAACCGTGTTATTTAAGTTAATTTTGCTTAAATCGTTTCTCATATTGTTAAAAATTCTCCAAAAATGCGATATTTAAAAGCTGCATAAAATTTTTCTTTTTTTCTTTTTTTTTTATTTAAGAACGAGAGAAAGGAAGAAAAAGAATAAAAAAAAAAAAAAGAAAAAGAATAAAGGAAAGGAAGAAAGAGGAAGAGGAAGAGGGAGAGAGAACAGGGGTGTTGCTTTATTGCCCGGGCTAGAATGCAGTCTAAAACTGGGTATGCCTGTAATTGTGTTTAATAATAGAGACATAAAAAAAAATGAGGGAAGAAAATAATTAACAAGCAGCCAACCAATATTTCATTTAAACCTGTAAATACGTGTGATGTAGTACTGATAAGAGTGTATATTTTGTGTATTTAAAGTGGAGAGTTCTATGAATGTTAATTAAGTCTACTTGTTCCAGATCTGAGTTCAAGTCCTGGATATCGATGTTAACATTCTGTCTCATTGATCTGTCTAATGTTGATGTTGAAGTCTCCCGCTATTATTGTGTGGGGGTCCAAGTCTCTTTGTAAGTCTTATATATCTGGGTATTTCTGTATTGGGTGCATATATGTTTAGGATCTTTAGCTCTTCTTGTTACATTGATCCTTTTATCTTTATGTAATATCTTTCTTTGCTTATTTGATCTTTGTTGCTTTGAAATCTATTTTATCAGCAAAAATTGCAACTCCTGCTTTCTATTTATTTATTTTAGCTCTCCATTTGGTTGGTAAATTTTTCACCATCCCTTTGTTTTGAGTCTTTATGTATCCTTACATGTGAGATGGATCTGGATGTAGCATACCAATGGGTCTTGGCTTTTTTTGCCTGTCTGTGTCTTTGGATTGGGGGATTTAGTCGATTTAAATTTAGAATTAATAACAATATATGTGTGTTTGACACTGTCATTTAATGTTAGCTGGCTGTTTTGCCCATTAGTTGATGCAATTTCTTAAATATGTTGATGTTCTTTATTTTTTGGTATTTTTTAGAAAGGCTGATACTGGTTGTTCCTTTCCATCTGTAGTGGCTCTCTCAGAAGCTCTTGTAAAGCAGGCCTGGTGGTGATGAAATCTCTGAGTGCTTGCTTGTTCACAAAATATTTTATTCTTCCTTCGCTTATGAAGCTTAGTTTGGCTGGATGCAAAATTCTGGGTTGAAAGTTTTTTTCTTTAAGGATGTTGAATATTGGCCCCCACTCTCTTCTGGCTTGTAGGGTTTCTACTGAGAGATCTGCTGTGAGTCTGATGGGCTTCCCTTTATAGGTAACCAGACCTTTCTTTCTGGCTGCCCTCAGTATTCTCTCTTTCATTTCAACCCTGGTGAATCTGGCGATTATGTGC